TGTATTCCTTGTTATAATCTCTCTAATCTATTTTAATATATGTTTGCAGAGGGAATGTCATAGTATGTATGAGCCAGTTAAAGCTCCAACTTTATGCATAGTCAGTGGTCCTAATAATAACCTCAGGGATGGCGGTTACACACCCCGGCACTATGTAAGAAAGACCATACTCCAGAGGTAGTTAATGCAAGCTGCTCAGCTATCCCTATACAAATCAGCTAGGGAGGCTTATAATGAGCATACTATTGTCTGAAATGGGCTCTCATTGATGAAACTAAAACTATTCAGGATCTGTGGATTAGTTAAACCTCTTAGAGATATTCCACCTATACCCACTTCCATAGAGTATAAGAATCTAGTGGAGGCTAAAAGGTTGGATCTTTAAGGAGGCTGCCTGAGGCTTAGAACCTAAGCAATACTGGGTTGAGTCACTGGCTGAGTTGGGTTTCAAGTTGCCTGGTATATAGACTATAAGGAAAACGGATTCCTACCTCTACGATGTGTTTGCATCTGTCTGGAGTAAACCTTTTAGATAAGATCATGGTAAGAGCACCTATACGGACAGAGAGCTAGACAACTTCAAGTTCACAAAGCAGGTTTTTCAAACAGTTTTGTTTCTGCTGGTCAATACATAAATATCTGTGTATGAGGGAGGATTAGATCTGAAATTTGTTTCCGTTTCATCTGGCAGTAGGGTGACTATACTAATGTAACTATAAAATTTCCCCCACTTTACACTTGTTATGCAGGCATTATTATTAATAGTGTCACCTCCCACTCTCAAAGTATCCCAGGTATGCTGATAAATTACATGGATATCAGTTAATGAGATGTGAGGGAGCAGATAAAGCCAAGCCTTATGGCATTTGAAATTCTTTTGCACCTACTATTATCTACTAAAATGGACCTAAGGTCTGTGAATAGCATACTGACCCCTGAAATACGGGCCAAGTGTTGTATAAAAAATTTCAACCTATTTTCACAAAACTAAACCACTACTATAAAGCTATAGGATATTCACATAATACCAATTTATGGGAATAACAGACTAAATTATTTGAATCGATCCTTCCACTAACACCTAAAAATTTTGGATAAAATACATTTATAAAAATATCGTAAAGGCATCAAAGATCAGATGAAATAGTAAGGAATTACCATGCTAAACAAAAGGAAAGTGAACCCAGAGAACTGAGCTAGCTTACTAACTGTGTTTGCCCTGAGGGTATTTGTCTATGCCAATAAATCTGAATTTCTATTGACAGCTTCATGAGACCAGGGGCCAAATATCAAGCCCAGAGCTCATTCAACATCCAGATTATAGACCCTTCCCCCCATTAAACTGGGGCTCAAAGGGTTATACTAACTCAGGGAAACCCATCTATGCAGTGGATGAGCAGCTGGCACTGCCTAAAGGGACCCACAGAGCTTGATTTAAGGTAATCCTAAACTTATAATTCCCCTATACCTAGCACACCACACGCAAAAAAAAAAAAAAAAAAAAAGAGCAAATCCTCTCTGGGAGGCACCTTCATCATAGACTTTAAATTATTCTAAACCACAGAGTGGCATTTTTCAGAGCTGTCATGTTATAACTGCTGGTCAGTTTAGAAATTACCAGATAGATTCACTAATGCACTCCAGCAGCTCAGGCCTTCACTGTAACTTTTACACACACAGAGGTTATTTGGGGGATGCCTCACTTATATTTGCCATATTAATAAACTGAGTCAAGAGCCTGTCCTCTCCTCTCCTCTCTGTCTTCTGCTGTATGCGCTGCTGAGGACTCTGCCTCTGCTGAGCCCATGTCCCTTCTAGGGGCTGCGCCGGGTGTGGCGCTCGGTGCATACGGTGGCAGGGCCACGGCTCGACCTTTGACACCTAGAACCCAAACCTTACATGCACTGATTCCTCTAACAGGGCAACTTTAAAATAGAAACATTACAAAGTAAATGCAACTCCAAAGGAAAGTTGAGAAGGAGAGAAAACGATTCCGGCTGCTCATAACCATATGACAGATACTTTGTTTTAGAGAAACCAATGCCAGTCGTAGGAAAGCACAGTCTCAGAGAAGCAGCGCATCTGAACGAAACTGAAAACAATCTGGACTGCTAAAGAGGCCGGGGTGCGAGCTCGGCGTGTTCCGTTAACGAGCTGCGAGATGCTGGGAGAGAAGCAGGACCGCCAACAGTACCCGGGTCGCTCTTGCACAGAATGCCACTGGAGGTCTGGGTAAATCCTGTGGCCACTTCTCTATCCAGAATCAATGATGTTTATGCTTCTGTGGATTTCTCAGTGGAGGCATGTCCCCAGAGAAGGCAAGTTTATTCTAGAGGCCGCGAGCGGTTCACACATGTAAATCATGGTCCCAGACAGTCCAGAGGCAGAACAGGATTTTATCTACAGAAAGGCACAACCACTCGCTTCTTTAGACTTGGAAGGCGCCCACCCCCTTTTTTGTTTTTTGTTTTTAGAAGACCACGTGCAGGGTTTCAAAGAGACTCAAGCAATCACTTCACGTCCTAATAGGATAAAGTTTATGCGTAATTCTGTATGACCCTTCAACTACTGACGTTCATGCCATGTTATTGTTAGGGTTGCATGTTAAGCGAGCAAATTTTCAATGAACTCACTGGCTTCACCACAGAACACAGATGTCAGGCGGACTCCTTTGTTCATAAGGTTCTCATTATTAACTCAACCCGAGCTGGATATTTGACTGAAGGAAAGGACCATATCATTATTTTCAGATTTCATTCTATGACTTAACAGGGCTACATCTGCCAGCTTTAGAAATACCCAGTCCTTCTTGGCGCCAGCCTTGGCGTTCTCTTCTATGACTACCACCCCAAACGTTTCAGCATGAGGAAGTCTCCCCACCATCAAAACAATTTAATAAAAACTTAAATTGTGATTAAGAGTTACTCATCAATTGACAGGGCATTCCAAGCCGGTGCTATTTATGAATTATTCCACACAATATTTTAAGCCTAACAAATAGAATCCACATTCACAAAGGGGTGAGTGAGAAAGCCAGTTGAATGCTTTCATGATTTATAAGGTCTGCGTTATACTTGAAACCATATTTCTTTAATAGGTAAACTGGCATTCCACTGGATAATTCAATCTGCTTTAAATCTATTCTAAGGTTCTGGGCAGCTTAAGGGACATTCTGAATATAAATTTAATTTCTCTCTTCACCTTCGGGTAATATCTCTCGGCGTAAATGTGATAGGAGGATATGGCATGGTAATGCCTGTCCACTGCAGAATAAAATCCAAGTATTAAAATACTGAATCTAAAGCCATTTAGAAAATGTTAAAAAAAATCACCCTAATTCCAAACATAAAAACTATTCTATACGCTTGGTTAAAGATGTAAGTTAAACCCACAACACGAAGGTCATGGTATCACTGCTTCCCTGTGTCATCCCACTGTCAATAACACTAGTGGGAAAAATAATTTGAAATTATCTTTTGTGGCTATTAGAAAAAACAATTCAGTCCGTCTGTGTGTAGACAAGCCCAGGGGTTTACACTATAGTTGTCCCAGATAACTGGAATAAGGGGGACCAGTTTTTCACCCTAGAAGGTTACATATGATGAATCTGCTTTAGGGACTCTCTTGGCATCTCACAGTATCTTAGAACAGGAGGACTAAGAGCACATCCCACGCCCCACCCAGTGCTCTAAAGACATCGGAAACAGTCATTCAGCCCCAATCACCTTCTCCATGTTAGAAGCAAAATAAAACTAATAGAGTATTTACGGTTGAAATGACAAGGTATCAGGGATTTGTTTTAAAGTACTTAAACAAAAAAAAAAAGTAAAGAAGATAGCTGTTAATAACATTGGCAAAATGTTGATAACTGCTGAAACTGGATGAAGAGTATATGGAAGGCTCATTAAATTCTTTCATTTCATATATTTGAAATTTTATATAATAAGTATTTTTAAAAGAAAACCATACTTATGAAGTTAAAAACACAGTTATTCAGCCTCTTGAAAAGTTTTGTTTTCATTTCATCACTAAACATGGCAATCTAGTTTACTAGTTGACATCTCTAATCACAAGAACATTCTTAAAACAACTGAAACATGCTTTCCTGTAACTCGCAGGCTGGTTGACGCTGATCTGATAGAGAACTTTAGGTTTACGACTTCTCCTTTATATTAGCTTATCAAACACTTGAGACTCAAGGCTCAATCTGTTTTTTTTCTCCTGAGGACTATCTTCTCCGGGTATTTGTCATGTCTGAAACGCCCCACTATCCGGCTCACACTAGTGTTTATCAATAACTCTTGCGTGTGGCATCCAGAAGTATACACTTCAGATATGATCTCAGTAGTTACAGAGCACAGTGGGACTAGGACTTCCTATAATATAGAAACTACATATTTATTAATACAGACTAAATAGATCTGCATTGGACTGGATGTGTCTTTCCCATAATCATATGTTACAATCCTAACCCCTAGTAAGATGGCATTAGGAGGTAGGATCTTGGGGAGGTTATTAGATCGTGAGGATGGAATTCTCATGAATGGGATTAGTGCCCTTATAAAAGAGACCCAAGAGAGCTGTTCTGCCACATGAGGTTACAAGAAGAAGATGGCAGTCTACAACTTGAAAGGAGCCCTCATCACAACCCAAACATGCCGGCACCCTTGTCTCAGATTTCCAGCCTCCAGAACTTTGAGAAATAAATTTCTGTCATCAATAAGCCATCCAGTCTGGAGTACTTTGTTATAGCAGCCTTAACTAAGATCATGTCACATGAGAATTAAGTTCTTAGCAAGGTATAGAAATATCAGACTAGCCAAGTAAATAGTAAACCTTTCTGAAACAATCATGGGAGAAAGTTTGGTAGCACTTACAGGAAATATACTAATCTCCATACACATAGAAATCCTAAATTTAAAATAATTTCACCATCAAACATCATAACCTTTAGCTTGAATTTTAATATTCAACGGATAAATTTTTATTTTTACACTTACCATGTTGTATGTCTTTCATGTCTAAATGAAGACTAGACATTAATATTCCAACTGCTTGCGATCTTTTGTTGCTTAATAACTTGACAACCTAATCAAGAAAGAAAGGAAAAAAGGAAAACATTAATTTAAATTCCAATATGCTTAATAACATATTCTTTAGAATCCTAAATAAAGAACAAATTAAAAGAAAACATCTGTGTCATTACTGAAAGTATTCAAAACCTTTTTTTTTAATGTTTGAAGAGAGAGCTTTTGAGTTTAATATCATAAATCTCCAAAATCAACCATTTTCCACCAGTATTCACCATCAGCCTGAAAGACATATTCTTTACCAGTCTTTTAAGAGCATGATCTATCAACAAGTAAAATTTCTAAGAGTGTAGGAAATAAGTCTGTAAGTAAGTTTCCGTAAAATATCAATTATATGTGATCATTTGCAGCCTCCGACATGGGAAGCGTTCTAGATCCTTAAAACGCAGGTCAACAATTGAAGGGAAAAATGAAAGTACACACAGAGAATCTGCTAAATCAGCTCAGTTGTATCAATATCACAAAATAGAAAATATGCTTTTATTGGGGTCATTTAGAAAGCTCACTGTTTACTGGCAGTTCTTGTCATCCTGCATCTGACCCACATTTTGTGGAGAACTTTCCAACTAGTTAATAGAGGGATACAAGCATCAAATTGAAAGGACTGCACCAGCTCCAATCTCAAGTCTGGGTGCCCAGCGAGTCTTGAAAAGTTAGTGCACACAATTCCAAGAGAAGATTTCCTAAAATAGAGGTAGGCAGACTGTTACAGAACAGGCGTGTTTTAACCATATTTTCCGGATAATAACACACCACCAAGAAATCCTGCTTATGAATCTCTTATCCCAGGTCCTGATCATGTGATTGGCAGCAATTTCTATTTACTCTCAGTGTTTTGTTTTAAATCTGCTTAGAAAAACACTGGGGGAAAAGGAAAGAAAAATGGTTATGGTCAAATTACCAGAAGTGACAGCTGCCTTAACAGCTATCACATTTGTTGACCTTGTCTTCCTTTTTGGTTTAAATTGGGTCAATCACAAAACTAATAAAATAATCATACCCAGCTGTCACACAAAGTCACAGAGTAAAACAATATTCCTAATAGCAATAACAGCATTCTTGGTTCCCCAGCAGCGATGGGGGTGGAGAATAGAACAAAACACTTTCATAAGGACCAACCACAAAAACCTCCCTGATCATTTCTACAAACCTCCCTGATAATTTCTACAAACCTCCCTGATCATTTCTGAAAGCCTCCGTGGTAAGAGACAAGCACTGCTTTCTAAAAAAAAAAAAAAAAATCTACATTTTTATTCTAAATTTGCTCTTTCAACATCTTATTAAATTTCACCTAGAAAAACTAGGTTAAAACTTGAATATTAATCCACTAGTACAGCAAAGTATTTATGTCAATAGCATTGCCATCTTCGGAGCTGAAAAACAGAAATTTAATATAAGAGAAGCAGAAGGTGTGTACTCTGTCCTGAAAACCATTTCTAACCTCAGATCAATGCAATCTGGGCCCATATTCTTGATATAACTGCTTTTTCTAAGGTTTCCTATCATCTTGTGGTCACATCTGAATGGTCACATTTGAATCCACACATAATTGGACCTCCCTATAGTGTTGGCATGTTGATCACATTTTATAGAAAGTCTCTACCCTAGGTCTCCTGCCAGTTCTTCTCGGTCCTTTTAAAGATGAATCGTTGTGATTTCAGCTTGAATATCTGGATGCCCTGGAGTTCTGTTCTTTACACCTTGTTCTCTTCATTTTATAACCTATAGTATCTCCTGTATAGACACAAATGCTTGCATCTTCAACTTGGCAGTCTGCTACTTTCCTAAAAGTTATCTCCACTTAAACAGCCCACAGAGACCTCTATTCAACATGTCTAAAACCAAACTCTTATCAGTCCCAGACCAAAATCTCTAGCCAGCTTCTCCTCCTTTATTCTACATGTTAAGATAATGATACTTCAATTTCCCATCTACTAACCACAGTTAGAAATCTAGAAATCAGTCTACACACTCCTCCCTCCCATTTACCTGCACACTCTGCTGTGTTATAAAGCTCTGTCAAGTACAGATTCTCCTAATCTTTGGAAACCAACCCTCCTCCTCAACTCAATTGTCAACGCGTAGTTCTATATTATATCCTGCATGCATCAGTGCAAAAGATTTCTAACTGGTCTCCCCCAATCTAGTCCAGTGGTTCACAAAGTGGGCATCATCATCACCTGTGAATGTATTAAAAATGCAAGAAAAAAGTTGGGGAGGGAGGATCAAATGGCTGGCTAGAGGCATCCAGTACTCGCTTCCTCTACAAAGAAGAACAAAAATAGTGAGTAAATAATCACAGGACCAACCTCACCTAAGGAAAAGAGAACACTAGGATTCAAAAGAGGAGTGAAAGGGAAGACCTAAGGCAGGAAGGAGAGGGAAGCAAGGCAGCCTGCTCAGCCAGGATCAGCTGGGACCCCAGAGAGTTTCCTTACTGTGGGACAGGGGTGAGTGAGTGACCCCCCAGGGGTTCACATTCCCACCACAGACTCCTGCACCCTTAGCCCAGGGAGAACCCCTTGACCCATGCAGGCCCTGGGACTAACACAGGGAGCTGCCTGGGGACCACGTGACAGCACTGCTCTGGAGAGGGAGCTCACGCTTCATCCCATATATCCTCGGAGTCAGAAACAGCTACAGCAAGGAGCCATTTTGAGAAGCCAGCCCCGACCAGACGGCACCCTGCCCTGCGGCCCAACAGCCCCTCTGTCTCCACATGCACGGAGCTCCTGTGACATCCCCCATGCACAGCTGGCACCTCTGCTGGCTGCTGCCTCCAGGGCCAAACTACAAAGCCATTTGCCATGACCCTGCCATCCCTAGTAAGGCCATCACACATTTAAAAGTGCATGAAGACAAGCTACCCTGCTTGCAGCCACAACCTGGGGCCAAAGCACACCCTCCCCAGTCACCTGTTTATGGTTGCTATCACTAAAAGAAATCACTCCCTCCCCAGTAGCAGGGCCACGGGGCAGCTGCTACCGCCCTCAGTCCCAACCATTCTGCCAGGGGCCTGGAGACCACTCTTCCTCTGCCAACCATGGCCAGTGTCATACACACCAGCAAGGGGACTAAGGACAGGACTGCTCAGCTCAGCTCCACCACCCTCAGTCCCTGACCACACTGTCCAGAGACCTGGAGATCACCCTGCCCATCCATCACTATTGACAACTGAGCATTCTTTCTAGGGCCTGAGGACAACAAGCCTACGCAACCTGCTGGCACCCACCCACATGTGCCACGTACAGGCTCGGGGACTGGCCTGTCCAACACCAGTGTAGACCATATGGGAGCCAGAGGGGTGTCCCACCACTGCTACTACCATTGCCCACACCATACCTGCTGCCCAGGTGTCCAAGGACCCACTCACCTGGCCCACTGCTGCTACTGCTGGCACCCTAGGAAGCCACCTGGAAGTCCAAGAATGGGCCTGCCTTGACCTACTAACACTTATGCCAGTATACCCTAGGGCCAAAAGATAGGCATGCTCAGCCCACTGCTGCCACCACTGGTACCCCAAAACTGGCCAACCTGGAGTCCCCGTCCCCAGCAAAACTTCACCACAATCTCCACTAACAACTATGATTACAGCTGAAGAAATCATATGAAGACTATACTACTGCAGGCACCCAGAATCAAAACCAAAGTGTTGTACCCAAGGAACATCATAGATACATGATACATCTTCAGGAAAATCTATCAGAAACACATTCAAAAAAATAGAACAAGCAACTGTTACATGAAATACACAAATATCAATGTAAAGACACAAGAAATAGGAAAAAGCAAAGAAACAAGATACCTCCAAAGAAACACAATAATTTTCCAGTAATAGATTCCAATGAAAACTAACAACCAACCGATGTTTGACAAAGCAGACCAAGACATACACTGGAGAGGAGATCCCCCTATTCAATAAATGGTGCTGGAAAATTAGAAAGCTACATGCAGAAGAATGAAACTGGATCCCTACCTATCACCAGATATACCAATTAACACAAGATGGTTTAAAGACTTAAATGTGAGACCTGATACCATAAAACTTCTAGAAATGACTTAGGAAAAACTCTTCTGCATATTGGCCTAGGCAAAGAATTTATGGAATAAGACCTCAGAAGGAAATACAACAAAAACAAATAAAAGGACTTAAACTAAAAAGTTTCTGCACAGCAGAAGAAATAATCAACAGAGTAAACAGACAACCTTCAGAATGAGATAAAATATTTACAAACCATATATTCAACAAAGGACTAATATCCGGAATCTGTAAGGAACTCAAATCAGCAAGAAAAAAAAACAAAAACAAATAAACCCATTAGAAATTGGGCAAAGGACATGAACAAATATTTTTCAGAAGATATACAAAGGGCCAACAAACTTATGAAAAAATGTTCAACATCACAAATCATCAGGGAATTGCGAATTAAAAACACTATGAGATATTACCTTACCCCAGTCAGAATGGCCATCATTAAAAAGCCACAAAACAACAGACATGATGAAAAGGCAACGCTTATACACTGTTGGTAGTAATATAAATTAGTACAAACTCTATCGAGAACAATATGGCAATTTCTCAGAGAATTAAAAGTACATCTACTGTTTGACCCAGCAATCTCACTACTGGAGAACTGCCCACAGGAAAAGAAGTCATTTTGTAAAAGAGACACCTGCACTCATCTGTTTATTACAGTACAATTCACAATTGCAAAGATATGGAGTCAACCTTGGTGCCCATCTGGTAATGAGTGAATAAAGAAAATGTGCTAAACATATACCACAGAATACTACTCAGCCATGAAAAAGAATGAGATAATGTCTTTTGTGACAACTTGGATAGAACTGGAGGCCATTATTTTATGTGAAGTAAGCCAGGAACAAAAACCCAAATACTGCATGTTCTCATGTTTATAAGTGGGAGCTAAACAATGGGTGTGCATCGTTGTACAGAGTGACTTAACGGACAATGGAGACTCAGGAGGGGGAGTGCAGGAA